TCGGTCCCATTGGTCCCGGAGGCCCTGTTCAATTTTGCCTTTTTTTTAAAGTCATTTTTCTCTCTGGTTTTTTTTTTTTTTTTTTCAGATTAGGTAGCTTCTATTGTTCTATCTTTAAGTTCCTTAATCATTCCTCTGTCCTCTGTCCTCTGTAGTTAAACTTTTATTTATTTTGGTAATCGTATTTATTAGTTCTTAAATTTCTATTTGCTTCTTCTTTATGTCTTCTATTTCTTTGCTAAGACTCTATTTTTGCATTTGTTTTGAGGGTATTTGTAATTGCTCATCGAAGCATTTCATGAACATGCTGCTTCGAAATCTTTGTCAGATAATTCTAACATCTCTGTTATCTTGGAGTTGGCATATACTGTCTTTTTTTTTTCCCATTAAAATTGAGATCTTCCTGGCTTATGGTATGCGTGTTCTGATGAGATTCTGAATTTTTTAAACCTGCGGTCTGCTCGCCTCCTCCAACATCCCAGCAGGAGAATGGAGGGCTGACACCTGTTCCTGCCAGGTGGAGGTTGAAGTCCCAGTTCCCCACTTGGCTCCTTGTTACTGCTGGTAACTACCCTGACTGGGAGGTAAATTTCTGCTCATTTCTTTTAACGTGACTTAATCACTACGGTTTCATTTTATTGACCATTCCCTTATGTCTCCCTTTTTAGTTCTGAAACATACTCTTGAAATTAATATTCTCTATTTGGAGACATTCATAAGTATAGAGCTAGGGACTTCCAAACGACTCCTTGAAGGCATTATTGACGACTATGGCCTCTCGCTTCTGCACGCCCTCTTGCCCTCCCTCTCTCCCTCCCATCTGCCCCGTACTAGGGGATGATGTTACGCAACGAGAGAAGAGCTTTTTGACCTTGAGGTTATGGGCATTGAAGAGTCTATGGAGAAGCTTCAGTGGTCCCCAAAGCCCCTTTCCCATCAAATATACAAAATGTTGTGTGTTTGTACATTTTTCTTTGGTGAGTCAGTGGTTATCATCAGAATCCTAAATAAGAACATGACCAAAGGGGTTAAGAATCACTGTAGCCGATTAAGAAATAGGAACAACAGAACTGCATGCTCCAAACCAGCCATTGTGGGAATGGAAATCAGGGTGCAGGCTGGTAGTAGACAAGAGACCAGCGTGGTTGTGTTTTGAGCTTCCCCTGTGTGCAGGAAGGAGAGGAGTAACTGGGGCTCGTGGCCTGCATTCCCCATTCAGGCCCAGAAAAGATAAAAAGATCTTCAAAATGTAAAATGCTTCAACAAAATGCGATGAGAAGGGAAGAAGACATTACAACATAATGTACGAAATGTACATCTAAATAAAAAATGGTCATCGAAGGGAAAGAAGTCCAACTTTTTCCATCCTGACTTTAGCCAATAAAGCAGCACTAACAGAGCCGCTCATCTGGCCCAGGGTAAGGGAGCCAGAGGCATGCAGAGCTCATAGAGAAGAAATGGGCTCACGGACAAGGCAGCCCTGTGAGGACAGTTGCCCTTGAGGTTCAAGAAGTCAAATTAGTGGCTAACAAAATTCTTCCAAGAAATAAATGGAAAGAAATGAAAGTAGATTAGAGACAGGAGAGAGCAGGAGGGCTTTCTGTGAAAGGACCCAGGACGGTCCTGTGGCGGCGATCACAAGCATTTCAGCTGAGCCCGGGGGAGATGGGAGCCCAAACCAAATCAGAGCGGGGCTAAGTGGATTCCTTTCCTGGAGGAGGCTGGGGCCTAATTGAATCTATAACAAATTTCTGATTCTGAAGCTTTTCTGTTCCACACTCGGCCTTTGAAACCTTAATTCGAGCTATTTTATCCCATTATTTCCAGGGTTTCTAAGACAAGAAAGAATACCTAGGGGTGCCAGTCTAAAGAGAACATTAGTTTCAAAAGGCTTTTCGCTCTCTGGGTTACCTGAGTCCCGAGACGGCTCAGGACGAAAGGCTTTCTGCAGGACAAAACGGATCTGCTCCTAGACTTACAGGTGAGCTTATAAAGAGATGGATGTGTTCAGGCCACCCCTCTGCTAGCGAATGGCCAGTCGCCAAAGGTCTTGAGATGACTGGTCCATTAACTATACACTACTGAAAAAAACGGGGGGAGGTGGCGTTTTTTAAAGTCCTCTATTCATTTAAAAAACCCATTCGTTCAAGTATGGATTTGATAGGACTTTCTGTGTTCCATCACGTACACATGGGTGAGTGTATCTATGTTAGGTGACACCGGGAGCGACAAAAGGTACAGAAGTCGGGGTCCCTTGAAGAATTCCCACTCATCTTGGAGAAACTGAACACACCCGTGTTTGGTTACCTAACATAATTGTTCAAAGCAGGGACTACCATACAACCCCAGACTACAAACACAGTGCCTAAGGGACCAGGTAGCTGAGGAATGATCAGAACAAGGGTTCCTTTAGAGTCTCATAAAGCTTGGGACTTGGCAAAACACACTCTCACACACGACCTCATTTACTTCTCAAAATAGTTCCATGAAGTAGGCATTATCCTCATTTTAAAAATAAGAAAATTATATTTGCAGGGACTGAAAGAATTACCTCAAGGCACAAAATTCATAAATGGTGGGACTGGAACCTGAACCTTATGGACTCTAGGACTCTAAATCAGAGGGCTCTTTGTACCACTGGACACGGCAGAGGATACACATCAGCATTCTTGTTGACAATCCCAACCCAGCAAGGGATAGTGACTTTTCCGGAGCCAGAAACGAAGTTCACAGCGAGGCAATGACTTAGTCCCAGTCCTCATGGCAGACTCTCTGATGCTGCTCCAAGATCTTTCATTGGGTAGCTGTTGGGGCCCGTCCTGGGGCTTATCTTTGGTTCTAAGAGCAGAAGATGCTAAAATGATTACCAAGGGAAGCTTCTGGAAGAAGTGAGACAGCTTCACAAGAAGGATGCAAGGAAGACAGAAGGGAACTGGGCAGGACGGGTGTAAAAGGACAATCAATGAGAGTCATGAGAAGGGCTGGGGACGGCTAGCACCATCTACCCAGCCCGTATTGTCCTATGGTGCATACACAGATGGCTGTTTGGGTTCCTTCAGGCTTGTCTCTGCGGCTGAGGGTGTTACATGTCTCCTTCGAGAGTCCTGCTGCAATTGTCATAATTAAGCTTCACATGAAGAACAGAAGAGATCTACATCTCCTCTGATTTCTCTCCCACATTCTCCTCTGAGTTGGCACCAGGAGCTCAGGAGATCTGAAGGGATTTCTGCATGCTGAGTCTTCCTAGAGAGCCTCATCTATTTAACTGGGCCAGTCCAGAGAAAAACGGGGCCTTGGATTCCAGCCTGGATTTAATGTCTTGTTCACATGTCTGTCTCTCTCATTAAACTATAAGGACAAAACTGGATCTTATTCGGATTAACTTATTTAATCAACAAATGTTGAATTAAGTGGAACAAACTAGACTTGGTTCTGCTTTGGTTGACTTTAGACAAGCTCTTGAATGTTCTCAAGCCCTTAACTTCTTTAATTGTCAAATGGAATTGAAAACGCTTGGCCTACTGACCTCATATGGCTGTCACAAGGACCAGATCAGACCATGATGAGCAGTAATATACTTTCCAGTCCCATATAAACATAAAGGATTTATTTGATCACTTATAAAACACCTACTCTCAAGTGACATCATATACTTGGGAGATTTCCTCCATATTATTTTTCTGTCGAAACACAGGAGACCCTCAATAAGGATCATCTGTCTCACTGATTTGACTGGCTGACAGCTATTTGCCCAATGAGAAAGGACAGTTTTCCTTGATATTGGAATATATAGCTAGGTGTCCTTCCATCAGTCTAGGTAAAGATGTCAGACAACGTGAAAAGAACAGAAAAGTTGTCTGTCGCCGGGAATCCTAGTGTCCTTCATGTTGCCCGTGGGCTGATTTCAATGAGAGGTCGGGAAAAGGCAACATGGCCAGCAGTCAACAGAAATTAGCATTAGAACATCTCATTTTTGAGAATCCCTTAGGCTCTGTCATTTTTCTCATCTCAGTATGCATAGCCGCCCACGTATGGGACCCCTGGCCTGCCTTCCGAGATTCGGACACAGGGCCTGGACCTGTCCACGGTACCTCCTCTGCAGACAAGGACATCGTGGCCCAGAAGACCTGGCCACAGTGCCAGGTGCTGCCCCTGAGACCACTGCAGCAGGTCTCTGCACAGAAGCTGGAGCCTGGACCAGGTGAGCACTGGGCTCTCCTTTTGGAAGCCATGGTTTGTGTGAGGGGGAGCTCTGCGAGGATGGGAAAGCCAGCACGGCAGAGCGCCCTGGGCTCCTGGGGCAGAGGAAACTCATTGAGAGGGTGACAAATAAATGTCACTCTTTAACGATGTATTCCAACACTGATCCAGCTCGCCCACTCTGTCTCTCAGCACTTACTGCTGGCACCGCCCTTCCTCCCTCGTCCTCCTTCCAACAGCCGATACTTCCTAAGTCCTAGGGACCTTGCATGGCGCCGAGCTGGTTACAAAGATAACCACCAACCCCACAGTGTCCTGGGGAAGGGCGTCAGACGGTCAGCCTGCCGTGGGATAAGCGCTCTGGGGTCGGAGTGAAGAGAGAGTTGTAGGAGAACAAGAAGAAAACGACATCTGAGCTGGGCCTTAAAGGCCCAGCAGAGTCCGGGGAGGGCCGGGGGGCGGGGGGAAGGGGGACCTCTCCGCTGCGCTTCTGAGCCCAGCTCGCACCGGTTGGCGGGAGCTGATGATGAAATCTTCAGGGTTTTTGTAAGCTGGTTGATTTTATATCGGTAGTTTAAAATCAACCATGGTGCGGAAATTGGCAACTATCACAAATGGGTTATTTTTTTCGGAGCTGGCTGTTAAATATTTATGGGCACGTGTGCGCGTGCACACGTGTGTGTGTGTGAGTGTGCATGAGACACACGTGTGTAGAGCTGCCAACAATCACAAAAAGGAGTCCCAGCGACAGGCAGAAAAGGCCGAGGGCAGCGACACGAGCGGCGCATGCGCGCACTCACCAGTCTCAGGTTCTTCATGGCTTGGGGAAACATGCCTTGATGCAACTGCAACTTGCCAACTTTCATTACCTGCACACCTCTGACGGGGTGGCTTCCTGGGAAAAAGATCCTGGAAGAAACCAGATGACAAACAGTGTCAGTAGCTCTCAGCATCAGCAGGAGACCGTGGACGTGGGGCAGACACCGGCTGTGACGACGCGAGCTTAGCCGTCCTGGGGGCCGTGGGCTCGTTATCTGTCTCCTGCTCCCCAGGATGGCTGCGCATTAGGGGAGAAAAAGCCTGGACTGGACCGGATTGCCTCGCCAATGAACGCTGGAGAAGAGAGACAGGAGTTAGGGCCTCTGCATTTACACGTGGGGGCAGAAGAGGTTGAGGTCGGGTGCTAGTCCCATCCTCCCAGCTCTCCCATGAAGCTCCGGGCCGGGCAGCCTTGGAACAGGAGGTGGGCTCTGCATACATGTTGTTAAGTAAACGACTGGGAGCTCCACCGGTTCCCCATCCAGATCACCCGCACCCCGTGAACTGCAAAGCCCTGTCTGTCTCAGCTACAGAGCTCCTCACGGTCCACCTTTCTCATCGGCCCTTGTCGTCTCACTCGGTTAAAAAGAGCTTTTTATTCAGACACCTCATCTGTGTTCGCCGCGCTGTCCTGCACGTAGGAGGGGCTTGATACATATGAGACCTTTTTCACACATAATGGAATAGAGTAGGGTGTCGCAGGGGGTGAAAGAATGAAAAATTAGGGCTAGATTTCAGACCTGATATTACTTCGATTTGATCCAACAAGAATTTATTATATTAGATTCATTTCAGTAACGCGTGTATGGTTTGGCCTCTCCTGTCCCCCACGCCTGCTACCGAGCTCCTGCCGTGGAGGCAGCATCATTCC